TATATGATTAAATTTCAGCTCTCAACGCCCAAGCATTCTTTTTACCCTTGAAAAAATTGAATTTGGCTTTCACGAGAGAACAACTTGAGAAATTCTCAAATTTTTCCGACAACGGCAGAGCAGTTAAAGTTGTAAGTTTTCTCTCTTAATATTTTTTTGACTAATTTGTATGTGAAAGTACTGAAACTTAGTTTCGCATGTTTGTCGCACTTTGCTCTGTTTGTTACTGATTATTTTTGTAGGAGTGAAGTTCGAGTTTTTTAAGATTATACATCAGCAACATACTTAGAATTGTGCTGATAGTAGTTAACTCTGTAGCTTGCTTGTCATTTGAAAATATTTTTGTTAGCTGCTTATTAAGTTACTAGAGTATTATAGAAATAAGAAGGTTATTGTGCATACAGTATAAGTGGTTAATGATTTTGCAGATAATAGAGCAAGAGAAAGTAGTGAGTCAGATAATGGATGGTTTTTTTGACTTAGTTACAAAAATGCTAATGTCAGTTCATCCAGTGATTACGCATCGGTGTCGCAGTAGAATGTCTGCAGTTTTGTACGACGAGGAAAGTGGTAGTGTGTATGTAGAGTCAGGAGTACGCTATCTGCTTTATTATACAGACGATGAAGACAGTCATATGATCTCGTTTTCGGAGCAGTTTTTGAGAAAGGAGATATATCTAAAAACTCATAATTTTGCGTGTCGAGCTTTAATTGTGTCTGGTGAAGGCAACTTTGCTTCACTTATTGTGAAAAATAAATTTAATTTGTAGCAGGTATATTTAAATTTGTTGGAAATCTCAACAATAACAGATTGCTGGAAAGCTCAATAATGGCAGATTGTATCAAATTATACACGGTTTTGACTATTATATTCTGTAGACTGTATTTTGTTTGAAGTTTGTGATTTAAAATTATGGACTGTACATGTACACATTATATATTTTTTTCAGAAGCTTTTTTGTTACATCATTATTAGATGTCTTTACTATGTCTTATCGCCTGGAATTCGATAAAGAGTTTGAAGACTATTTAATTGTTCATTTTAATGCATGTATTTCGTTATTCATATCTATAAATAATGAACAGTAGTAAAGGGGGAATTTGTTTGTACAAATATGAAATAGAGGTTGAGCAAATTTTTTCAGCTTTAAAAGGAGTTTTCACTGATGATACCCGTCTGCGGACGAATAGTACTTGTTGAAATCAGCAGATGGCAGCAAATGAGTGGAATGGTCATCAACCGGACAGAGTGAGGGAAGACTTGTGCCTATCCACTTTAGATCGAGAATAGTTTCAGGAAAGTGATGTAACATTGTGGGTGTGTCTGCCAACTTCATTGTTCCAATTAAGATGCATTACCGATATCCAAAATTCACATTTTTTGAGTAGAGCTGGCTGACGAAGATTCTCAATCTATCGAGGGAAGCTGTGAGCCTAGAAAAGTGTATGTGGAGTTGGATTTGACACTGCTATTCTCATTTGTCGTGAGGTGCAAGCATGTAATTTGCACTTCAGAGCAAATACATGCTTATTTTCGGAAAGTCCATATTTATGAGATCTATTAAATTATAGCTTAAGGTTTGCATCGTCTTCTTCGTAGAATATTTACTTATCTAGGTACTCTTTTGGAAGCCGTGGCGCACATTTATTGAAATAGTAATGGATGGTAATTATATAGTTGAGAGAATTATGGAAAATTCTGTCAAGATAAGATAAATATTTTACAGTACAATATCACCAGCATAAATCTACCTGTAATTCGCATTGAGATAGTGATTGTGACTGTGTCGAAATGTTGACTGGGGAATCATGGCTCTTACTCGCTGTTTTTAACTGCCAAACATGTGATGGTGTAGATTCGGCGTACCCCATTGATATACCGTGACTTGACTAGAAGGTTATCGAAAGTTTGCTTTTTTAAAAAAGACATCGAAATATACTTCATGAATAAAAGTTATCTCTCTCTTCAAGACAACTTGTAGAATAATGAAGGATATAATTACAGGAATTTCAGAAGTCAGATTTTTTATGCTTAGGAAGGCAGAAATATTGCTGCTCTACACATGTGACTTAAATGTCAGTTTCAGATCTATATTAGTGGAGGAGATACAAGACTCCGCATGATCTTAACAGTGTTCTTGATCAATTGTACTTATATATACATATATATGAAAGTGTAAGAGCCAGATAAAAGTTAAGGCTAAGAGTGAGATAAAATGGGCAATAGAGTGAATATTTTCTATTCAAAAATATAGGAAAGTCTATCATTTCTCAAGGCTCTCATTTTTAAAGAGATGGAAATAAAATTATGGTAATAAATAATTCAATAATTGCTCCGAATAATCTACCTCATTGTTATTTAGTGTTGCGCTGGAACTGAAGTAAATGGCTTGCTGAGGAGCTATCCGATTACTGTCTCCATTACTGACCTCTTCACTATTATCAGAGTTCGACGTTAATACGAAGAGTAATTTCAGAAACTTTGTTTTCCACCATTTTTTTCGTCCTTTTTGTTTATTCCGACTAGAAGGTTGTCTTCGTAGAAACCAAAAAAGAACTATCAAGGTGAGGAACAGAAACAGAATGAATAAAATAAGCATTAAGATCCAGAATGCTTCCCTCTTTAGTAAGGCTATATTAACTCTAATAGTCGATAAATGATCGCAACCCTTCTGTACTCCATTATGACGAATACTTCTGTAAATCTGGAAAGAAGTTCTTATTTTCTAGTCAATATCAACTGCAGACAATAACAGACTTATACTTCACATATGTCGTTATTATTACAGCAGTGTCGATATGCATGATGAGACAGCTTATGTTTTCTTTTGTAAGCTACTATTGTTTTAATATGAGAAGCATACATACTTGTTGTGATAACAGATTTCGTTCTAAACTGTCAAAACTTTGTGCTTGATTGTTGACAATTAAACGCCTGAAACATCCGCTAAATGCAGCACTTCTATTCTCCATAGGGTCTTCCCCTAGTGATACAAACTTCAGAGAAACAGAGATCAAAGTTGGCAATTGTTCTTCTGATTTAATTTCTTTTCCATGTCCATCAATCTGAAATCTCGCAAAGATTTGTTTGAAAACTAGATCATATAAATGGGGTCCATATTTTGTATCCTAAGCCACAGTTATTTAGAATATTGTTCACCGCAATTTTTTTATATTCACAGGAGTAATCCAATTTTGCAGTCTTATTCTTCGCTGTTTTTATATTAAATACAGCTACTTATTTCAGTTATTTAGCTTTAACTTGAATGAGATTCTGACTACAACTTGCCTCGACTCGAAGAAGTCTTTGATCTTCGCTGATCTGCAAGCTTAAACGATGCCACTTCATGTCATTCAAATCACTTTCTATATGCACTTGTACTGGCTTAGCACCTTGCAATTTTGCTATCAAATAAGCGGATCCATTTATCAGCTACAATTCAACCAAAAGTAATCCTAAATATCGAATAGAAGAAAATGGAACCTGAATCTTACCTCAATCTTACTGTATTTTCTTTCTTCGATGATCATTAAAATTATGGTATTCTCCAGAGCTGTTCGAAAATCCAGTTCCATCCATTGTGCCGAAATATCATCTATTATGTCGCCTTCACTGTAGTAGACAATTTTATGGAAATATTTATAAAATAAAAGTGAAATTTCCGTATATTTATAAGCCTTGCTTTAAATTATTTATTGTTACTGAGGATGAAAGAATCTTTATTGAACTGAGCAATTATTTTTGTGCAATTTTATTAATAATATTTTCTTATTGACGTGGCTTTCCGTTGATAGTTTTTGAATTTTTGAGTTATTGTATTGAAGTGTATTAAGTTTAATTCCTAAGTCAAATGTCTGTTACCACATCAGCATAATATCTCAGTTCTTTTTAAATGTGCTATCAAGCAAAAACTCACTGCGTTTATCAGCAATAATGCTGTTTATTTCATTTTAATTAACAATCATGATTCTAAGATAATATTAACGATGAAATCTTCCATTGAAAATGCGTGACAGTTTTCGATTTTAGAATTATTTTAAAAGCTAACATTTCAGATTCCTCACACGGAATCTCACGTAATGTTTCTTTGTTATGATCAGTGAGACTGCGCTCATGTCTTCGAGATGATATTTTAATGGAAGCATTCAATGTCGTAAACTTAATTTGATGAATGATGAACGCGGAAAGGCGGAAAACAACACCTCCATTGTTAAAATACCATGGTTCAATCGCTGAATATTTTCAGTGTTTAGTTCTTTGTGACACAAATAAAATTTTAAAAATGATTTCAAATACGCATAATTTGCTTTTATCTCATTATTGCGATATCCGTCATAACCAATATTAATACTGTTATTTTCTGTTATTATAAATTTTAAAACTGAAGTATGTGATAGTTCTTTAATATTACTGATATTATTTTCTCATTTTTATAATTATTATTTTTGTTTTCATTATTATTACCATATATATTCTAAAACCACAGTCACTGTAACTTCCTATCATTATTACTACGGTTATTATTACCATTATTGTCACTAATTTTTTGGCCATTTTAACTTCTCATATTCTACAATTAATATCAGTAATTTTACTACAGCTATTGCGATTATTTTTCACTGCTACTATTGTTATCGAAGGAACAAACCTTTATGGCAGTTTACTGCATCATAACCATCTTTACATATACACCTATAATGGTTGTCATCGTTAACACAAATACCACCTAAACAAATATCCGTCGTTTCCGCATCATCATTATCATTTGCGCATGTTTTTAATTCATCTTCTTTTTCAATCTCCTGCTCTGGTGAATTGATAATATTTTCGATATTGTAATCGTTCATAACAAGCTGACGCATGCAGCCTTCAAAATCAGCTATGGCATTCTGAAATATTACAAACCCGTTTAACAATAATTTTAGGCACTCTAAAGGTTAAATGCATAAATAAATAAGTTAGCAACACAAGTAAAGCTAAATGTATCTGCAAATACTTCCCACCTCTTCGCTGATGGAAGTTGCATCGACAGATTTTCTCATTCCACCGAAATATACAGTCTGTGTGTGAAGGAGCGCTGGAATCCTAAAAAACTTATTGCGTTGTAGTTTTAAATTAATGAGCTGAACCAATAATATAAATCAACATAAAAACAACTAGAAGCATTTGCTATGTTGAATATTAAGTCCTTTCTCCAATTTTTAAATCTCTATGCTGTATACCATGAACGAAGAAAAGAAAAATAAATAATCTATAGCTTAAATTTGAGACATTTCATAAATTTTTGAAATAACCTTAGCGAAGCTCTGCTCACAAACAAACAACCTTATTTTTTTTAGCCCACCAGTTGGATCGTTTGGAAGCTTATAAGATGTTTCAAAAGTATCAGAAGGACGTAACAAAATTAAAATTCTCAACAAGTTTTTAAAAAGATCCATCTTGAAATCAAGAATTCGCAGCATTTTAGTTTTGCCAAAAAGTATAATTATGAATTATTTACTTAAAATCCTTTGTCGCAGTAAAACAGCGAGAGTTATTACATGGTCTACAGAAACCATCTTCATCGCAATTTTCCAGCGTTAATTTCAATGTTTGATGCTTGTACTGAAAACGAATCAACTTCCACTTGCCATCGCCCACTTCTTCATTTATCAATAACTCCATTTTTTTGCCTTCCGTTGAGCTGAGTAAACGAATGTGGCCGTTTTGCAATGCTAAAGTAAGTGTGAACTTGCTGGATCCGTAAATCATTACCAACAAACCCGACTGAAACAAAAAATAATGCATATAGTTCTCATATACAATAGTTAAATCCGATTTTAAAAATAGGAAAAATTTACTAACAATAAGTTATTTCAAATTAATATTTCTCACCTGACTTGAAGTTTTGAAGCCTAGAGTAAATTTGAAGATTGCATTCTCGAAAGTAAAATTAATTAATGATGAGGGCCCATCAAAACATCGAGATTTCAGCTGACAGTAACGACCAGTGTAGCCTTGATCACATTTACATGAATACTTGTCATCATCTTCTTTAAAGCATTTCCCTCTGCAAAGACCAGAGAGTATTGCAGTAAAAAAAAATTACTTCTGTTACTAAAAAAGTGAATATTCTGTGTTATAATTCTTGTGACAAAATTTATCCTTCTGCTACATTTTTTTTTCTCAACACACATTTTTTCCATATCGAAACTGAATGCCTATGTTATGCATTGAAATTTGTAGTTACACCCAAAAGGGTACGAAATTTTCGATATGATAACATACCTGTGGCATTTATTGCAAATGTCGTTATCATAACTGCTGCTGCACTGTAGTGGAGCTCTTACAGTATTGCTACTTTCACAAGAACAAACAAATGAACCAGGTAGATTCAAGCACTTAGCATTGCCACAAATGTTCTTTAAATTATCTCTCATATTAATCGGCAAACACAAGCACGTATGAATCAAAATTAAAATTAAAGCCGGCTAAGAAATTTTCAACCAAAACTCTTTTAAACGTGTTATTGAAATTTACTAATAATTAGATGACAAATTTTGCAAAGTTTGAAATAATACCATATTCCTAACAATAAATTTTGCTTTAATATTATTATCGATCACAAGCAATAGCTCGAAAATACAAGAAAATCAAGTATTTTATAGACTTAGGAGAAAAAGGTTGAGTTATCCGTTATATATTGATATCAATTTCAAACAGTTCAGCAAAAGAACAAAAAATTCACATTAGCAATGGGTGAAAGTAAACTAGCGAGCTTACTGGAATTTCGCACTCATCGATATCATTTTCACAAAATTTACCAATGTAACCCTTGCGACAATGACAGGTATCTGAGTACAGCATGCACGTACCACCATTCTGGCATCCTGTACTTTCAGCGCATCTTGTTTGATCCCTAGTGTAAAATTTTATATATATATATAATATAAATGACCAAATTCTAGTTGCATTAGCGGAAATTAAGTCTTCCCTCAGACTCTAGTCATACTTTCTAAAACAGTTATGAAAGAGTAACTTCAGAAGTTATAAGCTTGTAGCATAATAATATTGAAACAACATAAAGCGAAGTGCTTACTCTGCTCGTCTCTTAACTAGCGGAACAACAAAGGTTGTCTTATAACCAACTAATTCCATTACTTCATTAGTTATTTTCACATTGCGAGAATATTGAGAGCCATGAATACATTTATCAGAAGTAGAACAAACATTTTCAGCAATCTGCTTTAGATGTATGAAGATGGATTTGCTGGTAAAAAAATCTTCAAGTATTTGCGAGCTTTTTATTTTACTGAGTGGAGCGGAATTTTCATCAAGAACTGCAACGAACATGCGGAAAAAGTCTAATTCGCTAAATTGCTCTATGCCGAAAAGTTGGAGTGTCTGAAGAAAAAGAATATATTATTCATAATTCATGATAAACTTTACTTGCTCAGAATAGGATGGATGTGAAATTGAAGTGATCAGAAAAAAAATTAAGTGAAGCACCTCAGCAACAATAATAAATTTTAGTCCCATTTAAATTATCTTCAATTTTGTAGCAAAAATTAAAAAATTTTTTGCCTCCATTGTAGACCAAAATTCCGCTCAATGCTCATATTCATTAATCAAAACTCTTTTGAACAACAATGAAGACTTTACTGAGCATGTAAGTAAGTATTCTTACTAAATTCTGGTATAATTCTTCAAATGTAGCTAAACTGTCGGCTATGCATCTTTCATCACTCCACAATTCAATGACAATAGCTGATTCTTCGAAAAATGATTTCTGCAGCGTATCTCGTTCCATTCGTAATTTTATTGGAAATGTTACATTTGTATTATGACTGGAAGCTGTCACAAATATTGAATTATCACGAAAATGGTCTAAGTTCAGTGAATCGCCATCTAATTTTAGTGAGCAGTTTTTTCCAAAAACCTAAAAATTCATATAAAAAAAATTAATTACCAAATGAAGTAATATAAATTGACAATTTGTGAATCACGGCACTACTGCAGTTTCACATTCTAGAACACTAGAATTGCAGACATTTTTGCACTAAAAACTTATTGAAATCCATACATGATTAAGTTGAGTAGCATCGGCTGAGTAGCATTCATACATTCCAACATGATCCATATCAACAGGAGTGATATGCACGGTGATTCCAGTTTCAGCAATTTGATCTGCTACAAATCTTAAATCGATAGTACGAAGTAGTTCTTCAGGTAGATTATCATCCTGATCATCAACATGAACTCGAATTTGATAACTAGTGAAACGTTCATACGCATGAATACTGCTAACTGTTACGTGAAGAATATAAAGAGGACGATTTTCACGATCCAAAATTTTGATATTTGATAGCACACCCGTAGTTTCATTGATAGCGAAGACCTGAAAGTTATTATGCTACTTAAAGGTGGTTGTCGAGAAACTCAAGAAATATTTCACATAATAACTAATCATTTTGAAGAATGTCTCATCCGCAAAGCAGAAATATAAACATTCGATAAAAAAGATTAACCTGAGATAAATCGTTATCAACTATTTTGTATCTGAATGGTAATTGCTTCCCAGAAATCATTTCCATATCAAATAGTGGAAGCTTAATAATAGGAGTCCCAGGAGGGGAATTTTCCGGAGTATAGCCAACCAGAGTAATCTGTTCTGCTATCGTGGCGTTATTACTTACAGTAATCGTTAGAGAAGCACGAGAACGTACAATATCATGTTGAATAATAGCTATTTTTAAATGATAAATAGTAGGTTGCTTATAATTAATTTGACGACATAACTTGATACTTCCTGAACCATTGTTACAAAATGGCTGCAAAGAGATATCTGTCAATGTTTTTCATATTTTCCTTCTTAAGTAGCGTATTTTGTTAGTTATTCCTTCAAAATTAACTTTTAGGATACAAAATTTGATTTCTAATATCTGTGAATAAGAAATTTGTTCTGATGTGATTACATACCAACTGTCCTATATCACTGAGTCCATCATTGATGATTTCAAGACGAGAGTCCTGTGGTAACCGGTGAAGAACAATTATTTCGTTTGAATCATCATCATTATCAGTTTCAAGCAGTGAGAAATTATAATATGGTTGCAGCAGTGGAAAAGCTTCAGTTTCTTTCATCGCAATGTACACTTTACAACTATAATTTGTTGCCTTTGTCATAAATTTACCGCTAAAAGTTTTACAATACCTTGGAACTTATCAATCCACAATTTAACTCCTATAATCTTCATTACTTATTATGAATGAAAAATATCTCAGTAATAATCTTGAAAAATATTAAAAGATTTTTACTGACATATTTGGAATGATAGTCGAATTCCGTGAGAGCTGGCTAGTCACAGCAACTTGTACGGTTATTAGTCTGCCCGTTTCATTCCAATTTTTTTTCACGCAAATTTCACCCGTACGATCATTTATCTTTACTAAGTCATTTGAAACAATACGGTAATAGATTTGATTTGGATAATTTCCGTTCAGAGTGAAAGCGTCGATCCTTCCAATTATGGTGTCTAAGAAAAGATTGCTATCACATACTCTTAAGATATTTAATCATCGAGCTTTATCAGTGTTACTTGCAAACGTACTGAAAAAATATCTAAATGTGATAATAATCAAGGAAATAGTAACTACTAATGAGAATCATCATTTTAATGTAATCTACTGCTGTTAAATGCGGCAATTATACATACTTATGGAAATTCACCTTTTCTTGCCGATGCACTGATTTCAAAGCTTCGTTGCGGATGAACAAAATATGCCGCAACTTCATGAAATGACGGCTCTACTGTGATTTCTATATGTAAAATATTGTTGTAAATTTTATGTTGCAAATTTGTTTGCTTTGGAACATCCCAAATTTCGGAATCGCTGACTTGAACGCGAAGCATATATTCAGTAGCTGTTTCATAATGAAGCACGGAAGAAACGTATAATGTACCGTCTGTAGCATTAATGGCAAATGGTATTTGTACCGTAGAGTCCGGAATAATACGATAAACAAATGCGTTTGATTTAGAATCAATGTCATTTACATTAAAACAAGTGATTTCAGTGCCTACCGGGGAATCTTCAGATATCTGTAACGGTTGTCATCAATATTTGCTCTTTAAAGTAATTATAAAAACTTTCTGCCAAAATGGTAATAATTTTGAAAACACTGAAAAAAAGAAACATAGACTATCTTGAAAAGAAAAACCAAGGAATTATCAAGTATGAACAAAAAAATATAAAATTCAGTAGAATAAATAATTAATTTTTACTTGCCAGCGCAAAAAAGAATAATTACGAATTTTTCACTAGCAGAAATTACCGTATATTGCTCAAGATAATTCTCGAATTCTGGTAAGTTGTCATTTTCATCGATGATTTCAAGAACGACTTCTGCAGTACTATTCAAGGGAACGAAACCGGAGTCTACTGCCACAACTAGGAACTGGTAATATCTGATTTCTTCAAAATCAAGTTGTCCAGTAGTGAATATGGTACCTGTTAAAATTATATTAATGATTTAAAATATTATATAATGATACTTTGAATATATATATATATATATGGATCACAGAAATCTTTAACAAATGAATAAAGTTCCAATTGAAACCTGTTATTGCATGAACAGAGAACGGTAAGAAACCATAATCATGCTGTATATAATAAATTATTCTTCCATTAAGACCATCATCACTATCTTCGGCAAAGATACTTCCAACTGACGTTTGCAAGTCACAATTTTCATGAACAGAAAACTCATATCTAAATTATTGCGATGGCTCAATTTCAAAATTAGTCACGATGAATCAAAGATTATACTTAATTTTCTTTACATTATATAGATTTTCTCATTTATTACAGAATCAAATAAAATGAGTCTATATTAATTACAAAATCTATTTTGTGCACACATGAACCTGTTTAATGAAAACTGGGGGCGATGCATATTCGGTTCAGTAATCTCAACAATAACCGTAGCGAAGACAAAATCACTTGTAGTTATTAAAAATCCAATCTTCTGAATGGACAAGTCATCGGAAAAGGCAGTTTTTGTTATAAGATAGCCATCTTGACTGACCATAAAACGGCTGTCATTTACCATAACATTATCCTATGGAACAGAAAGTAAAATATTGCATTTTTGGAAGAAAAGTACAAAATTGGGTTTAAAAACGATATAGAAAAGATTACTTTGTCTGAATGAGCAAACTTGCGAAAACTTAATCTACGATATTTTTGTATTTAAAGTGTATTTTATAACTTTGAAAAAAAAAACCGGAACAAGAGCAAACAAACTTGTGAGTCTGCTAAAAACGGTAAATGACCAATCACTGAATTAGATTCAGTAGCAGGAAGCATTGCAAATTCGTAGGTTTTCATTATTGAGTTGTGATAAGAAGGATCAGTGATGTAAATATAAACAGTAGCCTGAAAAATTATACAGATTTTTACTTAGGTCAAGCTGTAAGTTAAATTTCCACTACTCCCTTAAAAGAATATTTACTTGAACATTTTGCAGACAGTAGACTCTGATAACCAAAATCAAATTTTTGTGTACTCAAATTCCTACATTTCTAAATTACTTCGTAAAATTTAATGCGAAAATTTCCTGTGTAAAAAGATTTGTTACGGAGTACCAATTAATGACGACATTCCAACATGTTTATCAAAACTGAATTAATGTTGCAATCTCGCAATAGTCACTTTTCGAAAATTAAAGTTTTATATATTTAAGGAATGAAATACTCAAATTCTTTTAAATAGCTGGACAAAACTGTCGGCATCTAAATATTCTTGTTAAAGAATCAAATTATGTCTTTATAAAAGTCATAACAGCAGAAGTTTCAAGCCAACTTGCGAACAGTATGAGATTAACTATAAATTATTTCCAGAAGTAATTATTTCATTTTCTATGTGACGTAATGAAGTTAAAAAACTTTTGCAACATTAAGCGGAAGCTTACTTCACTAGTCAGCGATGGGATTCCATAATCAGTAGCAAAAGCCAAGCATTTTATTGTAGTATTCACATATTCTTGTAGATTACTTATCGACAAAATATATCCAGTAAACGGTACAATCATAAATGCCTCGTTGTGACAAATTAAGTCGTAATAGAGCTTGCCATTTAAACCAAAATCAACATCTTGTGCCATAATTTCGCCAATTTTAGTAAAAATCTTCTGTAAACTTGATATTCTTCTTTGTTTTTAGGAAAATATGATAATTAATCTTCAACATTTCATGCAAATATCAATTAACTTTATCATTAAAAACTGGAAAGACGCATATTAATTTTCAGGTTTGGAAGTCAGAGCAAATAAGTACAGTAATGAAATGAAATAGTTTTGTAGCGAATGGTACTTTGCTAGACTTACTGAATTGCTTAGTACTGGAAAAGCGTAAACTAATTGGCTAAATATCGGGGCATTATCATTGACGTCTTGTATTATGATAATCAATGATGTTCGTACTTCCCACAAACCATCCCAAGCTTTCACCTTTACCGAATATTCATTTCTCTACAAAATATTTCCGTTACAGATTATTAGTATAATTGCATTACAGATTATTTGTATGATTGCTGGCTGAAAATGTAATTTAAATGCTTTAATGGTCATCATACTTAATTGCACTCAAAAAATATCAACTACATAAAAAGCAGTTATTATCAGATTTGAAAAGAAGATTATTATTTTTAGTAAGTATTAATGATTGTTATTATTGTTATAGCATTAAGATTAATGTAAGAAAGATTATTAATGAAATTTATTATTTCACTCTTTTGGAAGCTTTTTGAAAAAAAAGAAATACAAATACTCTAAGTTAGCAAATGTAGCAAATACAAACTGGAAATAAATGAGCGATAATGACTGACCTCTTCTCGATCAAGCTCTTTCGCCAAAACGATCAAGCCAGTATGACGATCGATCAAGAAGTTATCAGCATCGATTCCTTCCAAACCATATATAAGTGTACTGTTTACATCACTATCGTAACTTGTCACCTGGAGATGTACTGTGTTTGTTTTATATATTAAACTGTACTTACAGTTAAAGGCTTTGATAAAATAGCAGCAAACTGGACTGAATCTATTTCCTGACCTGCAGTACTGGCGTACGTACAGCTGCATTCTCAAGAACTGAAGCATGAAATAGATTGGAGAAGCGAGGAGAATTGTCGTTTTCATCTAATATATCAATCTGAACAAATAATATGAAAACTGATAACTTAAAGTCATCACCAGGTTCAATACTTTTTCTGCAATAAAAATGGCTCATGGAAGTTTGATAGAAGAAGTCCAGTTGAAGTGCGATCCGAAATTATTCACATAGCGGTGGAATAATTAATTAAGTATTGCACTGATATTAGAAATAATTTTCATTCATAAGTTTTAAATTACCTTCACAGTTATTGTTTCAGACAACTCCGGTGTACCATGATCAGCTGCAGTGATGTATACAAAGTGCTCTCTAGAATTTTCGGCATCTAAACTAGAAACAGTAAAAATCTCTCCTGATTCTTCATTGATTCTAAAAAATTTCCATGAATCGGAACTATCGACCAGCATACTATATCTTATTTTACCATTCATACCATAGTCAGAATCATGAGCAGTTACTTTTGTGACTAATTCATTTTCTTCACCATTTTCTTTTACAGATGCTGAATAAAAAATCTGAAAAATAGCATTTTATTTCAGGTTTATTGTAACTGTTTTTAAAATATTACTGAAATAGTAAAAAATTTTTTAGTTCTTTAAAACTTAAAATTTCAACCTCTCATATTCTTCAATTCTATTTTCAATGAAATTTTTTTTGAAAATATTCAGCTACATACTTTTTCAAATTTAGGCTTGTTATCATTGATGTCAATAATGTTCACAATACAATTTGCATATGAAACCATTGGTTGGGTGTGCTGATCAATTGCTGCAATCCATAGATTGTACTGTTTTCTATATTCGTAATCTATTCTACTGCTGAAATTGTACTTTGAATCATTAGTTTCATGAGAATCAAAATTGCAGGATTATAACCATAATACTCTTTTGAAAATCCTATTACATTTCATAAATATTATGTGGAAACTGCAGTTGAATATTATCAAAAGATATTATGATTAGGTAGTTATCATAGTTCACAAGTAACTTTGAATGATAGATAAGATATAGTAATGTAAACTCTATCAAAGATGATTTATTATAATGTCATAATCTGCAAACACCCGTAAAAGTTTTGCTTAATATAATAAAATGAAAAATTTTTAAATTCATACGTAGAAAACAGTTCTCCTGTTTGAGAATTAAGATTAAAATGATGCCTTGGATCACCACTGACAATCGAGAACAAGATTCCTCGACTTGAAACATTTGCTGTGTAGACACTGAATCTTGTGATCAGAACGTCTTCAGCATGTTCAGTAATGTTAAATACATGCTGGGAAATTTTCTGTAAAACACTTTCTGATGATTACGATCATATTCGAATTAAAGTTGTAAATATAATATATTCATACTTAGAAAACATTAAAATGCAATATTTATCTTTGGTTTTAGTGAACAATAAATGAAATAAATAATGACTGTTGCGAGAAATTAAGTGTTTTTAAATTCACTTTAAAAATGGGAAATTTTATCGCCTTTGCAGTATAAAATTCTAATCCAACAGATGCATTCAAATTTCCAGGATCAGAAACACTTGCAGTAATCGAGTAATCTTGCACCATTAATTCTTTTACTGCAGTAATAACACCATTTTGATTAATGTGAAAATTCGAAGCATCTCGACCAGCAATACTGTAATATAACATGTCACCTTCGTCCAGATCAGATGCTGATAATATGTATACCACTTCATCTTAAATCATTATAATTATTTAATGCTGAATAAATTTTAAACTTTTCATGAAAAAAGTCGAAATCTCTTCATATTTTTTAACCATCTTTATGAATTCCGACAGCTTGTTTCATTACTTTATTATTTGAACGCATTTTACGTATTTCAATAACTAATTTTGATCTATTTTCTATCATTGCTAAAAGTTTTATTCATGCTCGCAAAAAAATAGATCCTATGCTGCTGCTTCTTTTATGACGTTTAGTTGGTTTCAATCAAATAATCTTGATATAAACCTGTTTTGATTGCATCTGAGATAAAAATGTCTAGATGCTCATTTAGAATCAAAGGTGGGTTATCATTTTCATCCAAAACCCGAATTCTTAATATAGCGGTGCTGGAAAGTTTAATATATTCTCCATTGTCTTCAGCTCTAATTTTCAAAATCCAGTTCGATTGAGCTTCACGATCGAGTATTTTCAACCTACTCACACATCCTGTTGTCGAATTAATCGAGAAAGGTACTAAGTCCACATCTTCGATATAATATCTGGAACAAAAAAACTTAAGATTAATCTCGTGTTTTTGAATTTTTTACTCGAACTGACATGAAAGATTAAGTTACCGAATCATCGAGAATTGAGAGTGATCTCTATCTCTTGCTTGGAGACAAATCAATATGGAGTCCTCTTTTACTGGCTTATTCTCCACTACTTCAAGGTAGTATTCTTGCTGTTCAAAAACTGGAGCATTATCATTTTCATCTAATACAATTACTGTTATTGTACTGGTCGTTCCAGGGCGTCGCGGAGCACTGAGATCATTTACTTGCACTACTAGCTCATACTGTTCTTGGAATTCTCGATCAAGTGTTTCTCTGATTTGTAATTCGCCTGTTTGTGCTGTGAGGCGAAAAAGCGTACTATTACCCTTAATCAAAAGATAAAGTAGACTACTTAACTATTTATTATCGCTTGAACTTTAATATCACAGACATCTTCTGTAAGAATAGATTATTAAACATTTAATTATTTACATTACGATAAAGTAAAGCAGTGAATATTTTTGCTTTATCTGGTGATTTATGAATTGTGAATCATAATTATTGTAAAACGTTCAAAGTATTGAGTTCAATTTTCGGTTTGTCAAGTAACTGAAGGCAAGCAAGTACAAAAAAGTATTGAATTCTACCTGTACAAGAGAATATGAAAAAGTTTCGTTTTTTCTGGAATTTGTTGTGCTAGCTCTTATCGATCCTACTGTAATTGGATAAGGCCCTTCAATGTTTTCACCTACATAGAAAACTTTTTGATTTCCGCCAAAAAATCGAATTTTTTCATCGTTAATCGTAAGAATATCGATGATAATAATACTATAATGATAAGTATTAATAATAAAAAGTGTGATATTTGAAATACACTTAGTCGCAGTGTACGATCATTAATCTACCACTATAACTGATCTTTTAACTAATTAATAGTGACTTGAAAAGTAATTTAAAAATTGAATACTTAGTTCTTGCGGATGTGTAATCTTTTTGTGCGATTAATAATTTGAATACTGTAAAACGAACCAAATTAATTCACTCAAAACATATTATTCAAGAGAGCTTTTTAAAATAAATGCAGTGGAAAACAGAAGTTAAAATATGCATTTGCTAATAAACAAAACTTTGGGCTTCAGTAATATGATGTTGAAAATAAGTTCAAAGTTGACGGAAACAATCAAAATTCAAAAAGAAATTTGTTCTGAACACTTGAAGTTCAGAATAATTTCATTCTTCTTAAAGTTTTTACCTTATTTTCTTCTTAGAATTTCTAGTCGATAACAACGAGACTGTTAAGTTATAATTCGATTTTTTAGGAGAATTTAAGGGTTGATTGACAGTCACTGTTCCATTTGTGGGCGATACATAAAAGTAGCCATCTTCATTCCCATCTTCTATTTCAAACTTTGCATTTCTTGCAAAAGTCTTCAAAAAATGTTTATTAGCTATTTGGAACTTGATGTACCGAATATTTTGATCTTGAGTGGCTTATCAATAAAGTTGAAATCAACTTTTAAAGAAGCTTTAAAAATCTTAAAAAATCTTTAAACATGTCATTTTTACTTTCATAAATTTCTCTCAGGAACATTATGACCTTTCTGTAAATGTTTTAAAGATTTCAGAAAAATTTTTTAAACAGAAACACGATGCCATTAATTTGATAGCTTAGAGTTATTATCACATGCAACAATTTCTGAGAAGATTTCTGTTCATATGCCATTTCAAAGACTAAAAATATTTGGAGCTTTCTTTATTCAAAATAATCTAATTTTCAGAAATTTCTAATTTTATTTGCTTTTAGAATAGAGGCACTTGCATTAATTAATCGGATAATAACGAATCCAACTGCAGCATTTTCTGGAACAGTTACATGATGATAACGTTTTGATTTTAATGATCCTTTGTTGCTAGATAATGTTATGACAGTTACTTCGATGACTGTTGAAAGCCTTCTCGAAATACCGAAGTCTGCTATTTCAACCAAGAAATGATAATTTTCAGTTGTTTCATCACAAATTTGCTCACGTACCTTAAAAAGAATTCTGAAATTTAATGCAATTTCAATTATTATTTCTGAATATTTGTTTAGAGAATATTTCAATCATTGCACATCCTTTTATTATTACTATCATCAGTATTTAGTATTCACTGATAACACTTCATTAAATGTTAGTTTTTGATGGCACTCGAAATTTTTTTCTGTGCTAAGATTAATTCTCTTTGGAAGTATTTGAATAAAATCACGATATCATCATGCACTGAATAATGCAAACAAATAGAATCCGCTTAAAAAATTTTTAAATCGTATACTTCCGGTAAATTTATGAATATTAAATATGTTGAAAAATAGTCAATCAAATCATTCATACCTTTAAATATCCATGAATAGAGTCAATAGTAAATAATCCTTCGGGATGTGACCATGGTAAAATACGATACTGTAGTTGACTATTATACCCTTTATCAGGATCTTTAGCTTTTATGCGGCCAATAATGGTGTCTGGGGCTATATTTTGCAGTACTACGAAAACAGGTGGTGAAATGATTTGAGGAGCATTGTCATTTACATCCACAACTGATACTGTGACTTTTGTCGTTGTTTGAAATGCTGAACATAGAAATTTTAGTTAAAATTTTCTGAATTTATTTTCATCAAACTTGCCAACACTGTAAACTAGTCCTTCACATAGTTATTACTAACATTTTTCTGGTAGTTTTTGATCACAAATAGTAATTGTTAACTGGTGAAATGTGTTTTCTTCATAATCAAGTGGTGCCACAAGAAATATTCGTCCATCAGGTTTAATCCCGAACCAATTTTTTTCATTACCAATTACAGATATCTCATATATAAATTTGTTCACTGAAAAGTTTTCATTTGGTTCTTCAAAAACTCCATTAAATGAGATCACAGACAAATAAACTGTAAAAGCAAAATTCCAATTCAGTCTATAATTTCATGATTAAATTTTAAAACTGACCTGTATCGAAATCATTAACTTGTAATCGTAAAATGATATAGCCCAATGGAGCATCTTCCTGAACCTTAACTTCATATTCACTAGCTGTGAATTGAGGTGCATTGTCATTTACGTCAATAACATATAGATAAATATTGCATTCTATTGTAGTGCTTTGTGTTCCATGCAGAAAAGCTTTGAAGTAATACAAATTTTCCTGAAGGTCAAACTCAACTAAAACAAAAGTAACAAAAATTCAGTAAATTTGCTAGCAATTTCAAAAGGCTAGTTGATGATTGAAGTTGTTTCGAATGTTAAGTAATACCAATTCAATTTTGATTAAGAAACTTGCACGCATACTATTTTGAAGAAAGAAAAACAACAGCAAGCGATATACTTTTTCATAGTCAAATGGAGCAGTTGTTGTTACAGCTCCAGTAGTGCTGTTAATTGATATCCCATATGGATGCCCATGGAACGTGAAGTTAATCCTTTCATTACGATTTATCACTTCCTTGTTTTTTATAATGCCCACAAATGTGCCAGGTGGAGCATTTTCTGATACTTTCAAGTTGACAGTGTTATTTTGAGAACAATACATGCCAGTGTATGACTTATCAATGCCAATAAATACTGTAATTGATTTCAGTACTCCTTCACCTGTTGCTTTGACATCCAAATACATTTCTGATATCTAAAATATTGGACTACAATGATTATTACCGCTGCAATAATTATTTTCTATGTCTTACTTTTATCAAAATCACAAATTTTGCTTTAAAAGTGACTAATAGGTTTTTAAATACAATAATATCATTTAATAAATTCCAATGCTTCACACTTACGTTGATTTCATTTTTTATTCTAATCACACCACTTCTCTCATTTATTTCAAAATTATCAGTTTCGGTCAACAATTTAAATTTGAAAATTCCAAAGCTGTCGATTTTTCCTACTATCGATCCCACTAGTATCGGATCTTTGATCGTAAATTCATAATATGATTGGAGCTTATCCACTGTCCTCACTTCATTTACTACCAACAATTTAATCTGAAGTATTCAAATAAAATTTAACAGTGTAGTCTAAAGTAGCAAGCACTGCTTTAAAATTTTTCAAAATCAAGATTTATTATGTAATAAACTGTATTTCAGAATCATATTCTTGTCGTAAATTTATTAGATAATCATTGGTATCCTTGAAAATACAAATATAGTTCTTATCAGGAGTGCAGAAAATATGAAGAGATCGAAATGATAATTTTAGCAGTTATAATGAATACTATGCAAGCAATATTATTTTATGAATATTATTAATGAATATATATTATATTAATGTTAATAATATATTATTTTATGCAAGCATGCTCAAATTTAAGCAGTGAAGATTTAAACAGCCACACATGACTATTTAAATGATAAAATATCATAAAAAGATTGTGAATTCAGTGCAATATTTTTGCAGAATATTAGTACTTTTATTACCACTATCAGTTCTTTGCTAAATTAAATTTAAAATGAACAAAAGTACATCATATATTGAAGAAATTTTTTGTAAGTTATATTTAGGAATTATGAACAAATTACATAAAACCAGCTAAATTCCAGTGTAAAAAAGTGAAAAAAACCAGCCAAATTTTTTAGTGACATCAAACATGAAGCAGCTATTCGTTGAGAATAACAAAATGACAGTTTTTAAACAAATATTTTCTCTAGCTTCTGGTAGTTTCGGAACATTTCAAATTTTAAATCGACAATTAATTTTTTCATTTTTGAACGTTTTTAAAAATTAAACCCCTAAAAAGTATCGAAATTAGACAGATCAGTGACGATTCAGATAAAAAACGAGTCGAAATTATTCATGGTTCATTTACGGGACATTGATTTCAAAGCCATTTAAATTTCATTTCATTGAATCATTTTATTTTCTAATAAAATTTATCAAAAATAGTGATGTTAATGACAAAAGAGATAAAAGATGCCGAGTGTTTTTTTTTCCAATTCATTCAAATGTTAATTTTTTGATGCGTTTGATTTGAACAGCCGTCCGTCGATTGAACCTAATCAAACTTGATGCATCATAAACATTTCTGGAAAAAATGTAAAAGAAAATAGCAGCTTGTAGAATTCTCAAAGATTGTTGAAAATACACTGTTAAAACTGAAGTACGAAACAAATACTTTTATCACGCTATCATTCTGAAAAAATTTTAATTTATTAAATTTTGACGCAATATCAGTCTAAATTCTTGAATTAATTTAAATTTTTAAAATGATTTAATTAAATTAAATAAGATCACAAATATCAAAGAAAATTTTGGATGTTTAGAGTTTAATGTGAAAAATATTTATGTGGTTAGCAAATGAGCCAATATTTTAGTTCCAAAGCCAAATTTTAATTCAGTGATTTCCCCCTTTGAAAATTTTTGGGAAAGATAACAAGTAAAAATCACTGCTTTTGTATACATGTATGTGATCGTTATCGACCTTGTTAGTAACAACATAATTGGTTTTGCTTTACTTTACTTCTATAAATCTCAACAACTCACTTATATTATAATTTGCAGATGACAATTTCAAGTGGAAGCTCTTTTGTCTCGTTGAGTTCATTCTCATACGGTTATTAAAATTCTTCAACTATTTGTGTCCATCTATAATTATGGAAAGATGGACAAATATGTTCACAAAAGACAACAACCACCCATAGAAGGTCAAGTAAAGTTTATGAATAATTCCCGATGACAAATCAAGCGTTTGTCACTCAGTCAATTTTATTTTCGAACTAAAATCCATATTTTATAAACAATTGACATGCAAATAAATATAGTAGAGTAATACAGAAGGAAGGCAAGAACATGCATTTTATAAAGGTAGTAAATCATTAAATTTTTTCTTCCATATTTCAGTCTCTTTAAATTACTTCTTCAACATTTTTTTTTCGCAATAAAAGTTAAGAAAATTTAACCATAAACTATTTTTATATACAAACAAGAAGTTAATAAGCACACAGGTTTAAAATCATAATTATACCATTATGTACTTTGCTTTCGTTGTTCCTTACTTACTGATAATGTTGATCATTATCACGGAAATTATGAGTGTAAGCAATATAAAACAAGTTTTCTAATATCTGAAAGTTTTACATTGCAACTTTGAATAAGTAGCATTCAAGTACGAAAATGTTAAGAAAGAAGAAATTTTTGAACTGTGAACACGCTCATTCTTTGAGAATAAAAAAAGTTCAATCGTTTCCAAAAATGCTAGACATTATACCATTTTAGTTAACTAACTTTTGTTTATTTAAAAATTTTACTGCATTCCATTCAAAAGCAATTTTTTCAAGCAACTGAAGCAATAAATGTCTCAATCAAAAAAGTTTTGGATCAAAAATAATGCTGCTTACTGCATTGGTCTAAGCAAACTTTATCCAATTTTTTTTAGAATTTTGCGATCACAAAGACTGCTACGAAACTGTTCACCGATTATTCCCTCTTATTTGCATTAACTTTAATTATTTTCTCCTTCTCAGATTCACTTGACGAAAAGATAAATTTCAGTAAATTTAATGCCAAGTCAAACTTTCTTGTTCAAAGCTCAGGGTAATTCATTCTTATTCTTAGAATTAACTTCACTGTATGTATCTTATATAGCAAATACCATGCAGTTGACAAGTTATTTAATCTATAAGCACTGAGTAAATCTGATTTATAAATATTTTTGTAGTTTATGTCAATATCTATCTATTCATAAATAACTTTGTGGTAATTTTGAAAAGTCCTCACGGGAATCACAATTGAAAATTGCTAGTTATTTCAGAAGTTATCTCTAGAATGTTTTAACTTCTCAGTGTGATGATCAGAAATTTCAGTCATTTTGAGATGATACCGGTCTGATGTTATTAGCAAACATTTTTCATAATAAAGGTTGCTTTCACCTGATTTAACCTGAGACACACAAGAAGCAATATTTAACTGCTTAAAATTGCTATTATTATCCAATTATATGGTAGTTGATTATGAAAATGTCACGATGGTTCTGAATACCTAAAGTGAGCTTGCAAACGTTGAACTCTTAAAATTTAATATCAATTTTCAAATTTTTTAAATCTAGACTTTAAATTTATAAATATTATGTTTGTTTTTGATTCACAATAAAGATAAGCAAAAAAATAGTTGATTAATGTTTTAGCTATGATTTAATAGTTAATAATGGCGAGTTATTGTCATTAGTTACATGATATAGTTTTACGTACAATTAAGACAGGAAAATGTCTTACAGAACTTTTAGTTAATATTAGATCAGCTAATTATGAAGTTAATTTATATAATGACAAAGTCCTCACAGTAATTTTCAGTGGTTAAAATGAATACAATGGACAGAAAATAAAGATGACTGTAATTAAATCTTTGTTCTCTCACAGAGAATTGACTTGTGTAAACGAGAGAATGCATGGAATATACAATTTTTCAGGAAATTAACTGAAAAATCATCATTGGAAATGTTGGAAAGTAATTCACAGATCATTCACAGGTCATTTATAATTGTTGTTAATTATAGCTTGTGCAATTATTGCATTTACCTTTATCAAAATTACTTCATTTTTGTTATACGCGAAAAAATTGTTAACTTCTGAATATAATTTATTTCAGGGAGTCTTTGGAATATTTTTTAAGTGCTAAATTCTTGAAACGCATGAAATAAATAAAAATAGTAAAATTTTTGATCTTCCATTCAATCTGTCTATATTCTTGATGAAAACTGCCCTCTCAGAAGCATGAATTTAGCAGATGCCAAATGTCTATAGAGTGTTCGCATCCATTATTTTGACAAGCATTAATATTTCTCGCAAAGGTAAAAAGGCTATCAAATGTACACACAAATGATTACTTTAACCTGTATTGTTCACACACACATCTGTCCCTCTTAAAATGCACACAAATGTAAACACAGTGACCACTCAAACAAATCGAAATCAAAGTTTCTATATTTACTCTTTTCCTCTTTTTATTTTCATATAAAATGACTATAACATTCAGCAAAGTGTAGGCAATTTCAATTGGCATATTACTGTAAACAGAAGTGTATTTGCAAGTAATTTTGAACTCTTCGTGATGCTTGTGTGATACTAATACCTTTGATTCAATATTCATGCATAAAAAGATCGAACAACATGAGTTATCCGCAGGATAAATATTGACCCCAATCATGTAAACATACCACTTCAATCAAAGCGTACGACCATCATTAATTGCAGTAAAAGAGAAGTGATACGACTATTCAGTTTAATACTGAAACAATTATAATTGAAAATTTCGATATCAAACAAAAACTCACCATGATCGTCTTAGTAAATCCTTCTGATAACATCGTAATTTCCATATTTCTTTCAGGACCCTCTGGCTTTTGAATAATGCGTAACTGCCCACTTAGACGATTAATATCAGCCCACTGCATGATTTTGTTGTCATGGTATTTACTTCCAAATGAAGTTGTAAAGTATTCCACCGTAGTCCCAGTTTTTGCTTTCACTGTGCCAAACACAGTACCAATTGCGAGACTGTGGTTGATATGGTAGTGGTCCTTAAAATCAATCTGAGCTTCCAAGCCTGGATTAAATGGAATGAGTGTATAGCGTATTTCGGAGGTTTTTCGTAATTCGTCAAGTTTATCACGAAATCTAAAAGTAATTTTTATAATAACTTGTTGATGATAAACATTTTTCATAACAATAAATAATGCTAATGCTTGAAGATAAGAACTTACTCAGCTTCGGTGTTTCGATCGTAAATCAGCACTGAAAAATGTTGCAAAGCACCTTTGAAAGGATCAACTGTAAAGCCATGCTTGTTCACATCCAAAATGCTATCAGCTTTTTGCAGCACTTGAAATCCGATTGCTGCATTTAGACCTTCATCTTTATCAAAGCATTCCCATGGAAAGAACTGTGATGACTCTTGTCTGATTAATATCGCATGAGTACCATTACACTGCGGGAAGTTATCATTTTCATCCATTACTTCAACCAAAACCATTATTGATTCCTTGTTCAGATTTTCAAGTAATAATCGATAAGAATTCATTTTTTCACGATCCAAAACATCATCACAAATTAAATTTTTTCCATGAAGACGGAACGCATTCCCAAATGGTATTTGACGTATTATGCGTGTATTATTTGATACATCAATTTTACCACATACTTCACCTGCTTTGTTGTTTTCCTGAAAAAAATTTCATATTATTTTCTAAAATTCTGTTCAGTTTTTAACTTACAAAAGAGTAAAAAAAAATATCACATGAACATGTAGCTCAATCTCAAAAATAAAAATCATCCCATTTACTTGAATATGTATTGTTATTGTCTTTGTTATTCCATATTTGTTATTATCCATTAAAACAACTCCAAACGTTATTGTATTGGAAGACAATGCTGTTTCAGCTGTAATCATTAATTCCATCCGTTGTCCAATATATTCGTCTAATGTTCCAGTTAAAAATATGCTACCATCAATAGCATCAATTGCAAATAAATCTAAGCGTTCTGCACTCAAATTACCGTAACCCAGTGAGTACCAGATATTTTCTCCGCAAGCAACCGCATGAATTCTTATAAATGATAGCCCAAGAAAGCTATTGTTGATTTCAATATCATAAAGCGGATAATTCATAAACATTGGTGTACAATTCTTTTTTGCAGCAGTATGAATGAATACATATGTGATCGAAGAAAGTGACGGATTGCCGCAGTCCGTTGCAATTACAGTGAGATTATATACGTAATGAGGCTGTAAAGTACCACTTTGTCTGATTTCTCCAGTAGTTCTATTTATCTGAAACTATAGTAATATAATAAAGGGTAGAAAAAGTTGAATGAAATCGAATTACTATTGCCACTTACAAACATGTTGTACGTATATTTATTTACTTATTATGGATTAATTAAGCTTGTGTACTGACCTTAAAAGGGTACCATTTCTGACGTATTTTGTATCTTATTTCACTATTTAATCCAAAATCCATATCATATGCTATAACTTTACCAACAAAACTATCTAAGCCATCAGATGTAAAATTGAAATGATAAAATTCGTGGTCCCACTTAGGTATGTTATCATTTAAGTCCAAAACATCAATCACAACCAAACATTCGGCTTTAAGCAAACCATCGTAAGTAGCAACAACAGTAATGTTGTAGTAATGAGATATCTCATAATCCAAAGTGAAGAGAGCTCGAATCTGACAAATTTAATATTTGTAAGCATTCATCATCTTAGCAACGCATAAGCATTCTTTCTTTCACTTTAGAAAACTTGCAAAAAATTCTTTCATATCTCAATTACTTGAGTGCAATTCCAAACTAAAAAAAAGTTGTATTACCACATATACTTACTTCACTGTTTTCATCAACTAAAATTTAAATAGAGCTTTGAGTAAAAAAATGAATAGCTCATTATCAAAACATACAATTCCGCCGTACTCATCGATGTGAAATAACTTTTTCCCTTTGTCAACAATATCATAGAATAATATCGAATTCCGATTACCGTCACTGTCATCATCAGCACTGAAAACTCCTACCACGGCACCAGGTAGGTTATTTTCTGCAATGTGGAATCTATTTTTTCGAGGGCACCGAGGCACAACATTATTAGTATCCTGCAAGATAAGTTTTTAGTTTACCAAAATTACACCAAAATTTAAAATCCGATTAATAACTGGCTTTATTGAAAATTTCTTCTCGTCAAATAATAAAAATTTAATCATCATAAACATCTAACTAAATATATTTTGAAAATTGGTAATTTGTAAAAAGTAAGTGCTTACAAGTAAATCCAAAGTGAAACAGCTCACCTCAAAAAAAATTTGAAGTAAAAATTCATGCTTGTTTTGAATGGGATTTTTGTCCAAATTAAGAGCAGTAACTGGTATGGATAGATGTCTCATTCTTCCACTATCAAATTTTGATGCGATAAAAACTTCCCCTGATGGGAGTATTTGTACTGGATAACTTTTCTTTGCTACCATTTCAACAGCTTGAAATTTAAAACGATGGGTAGAATTAATGGGTGCTAAGCTAGTTATAATTGTTCCTAAGGATAGGTTACTTTGCGCCAACAATGTAACTGTCGGAGGGAATGAGTAGATCTAAAAAAATAATTTTATCTCAAACGAAGAGAAAGAAACAGTCAGTTTAAGAAATATGAATACAAATGTTAACCCTTAACATGCATACTTTTTTCTGCATGTTCAAGTTTTGATAATTTGATGCATTTTAATATAATGATCTGAACGTGCTTAAATTCAGAAACATTCAGTATCAAAATTTCTGTAATGATTGCGATGATAAAAGTTCTGAAATGTATTTTTTTAATTAATATTATGATGTGCTTGATATTATAGTCAATAAAGTATGGAATTTGCTTACTTCTTCATTTTTAATTTCTGCCACAATTTTTATTGTATTATGTCTTGATGGCTCACCATTATCAGTTACCATCACATGAAACTGCAACTGATTAAAGCCATGTGGAAATTTCATCAGTCTTATAATGCCTGTTTTTGGATTAATAATAAAAAAGCTACTGTCGATACTGTATGTGATTTCGCCATTAGGGCCATCATCCAAATCATGACACTGTAATCGAAACAGCTCTGCGCCTACGCCAACAAGCTTTGCATCAATAACAAAATGTGCAGTTGTTCCATCAACTTGACAGGTCGGTGAATTATCATTTTGATCAAGAATTAAGAGTCTTCCTTGATGCATTCCTGTAGTCCAATCTCCATCTGCGTACACAGTGAAACTAATGATTGGTTCAATTTCGCGATCAAATGAACGGCGTGCTCGTAAATGACCCGTGAATTCATCAATCAACAGATCGCTAGTGTTGATACGATAGCGAACATTGTCCTGCATTTAATTTCAATACATAATTAGTTTATTTTCATAAACTAAACTTTTTATTATGTAAAGAAGTTATACTCCAATTACAAAACAATTTGCAAGTAACCCACAGTGAATTACATATGTAAAGTCAATTGCTAATTAATAGGCAATCATTCTAGGATCTTCTTGCAAAACTTAATCATCACATAATTTAGAAACTGTCACAAAATACCAAAGACGTTGATGGAGTAAGCAAAAGCTCAAAAAGCGATGGAAGTCATAGAAGGAACAAACTCAGGCTAAGCAGAGCAAATAAAAATACACCAACTCAACACTGAACGACAAATAGAACTAGAATCAGACTCAGGAAAACTCACATTAAGTAAAATTAAAAATTGGTTTCATATTAATTCTTGAAACATTCAGAGAATTCTCAGTTGATTAGTATTTATCATTGTTAACTTACCATTCGTGATTCTACGGAAAATGACGCCAAAACTTTTTCTGGTGAAGAATTCTCACTGATTTCAATAGACCAATTATTAAGTGAACTAAACTTTGGTATTTTTTGTAAACTATCGAGCAACCATAAATGAATAGTGGCATTATTGTGAGACAAATTACCTTCGATATCCTTTGCTCCCACTGTGATCTGTGAAAATGAGATGGAAAATAAAAACATGATTAAAGGAATTGCGCGATAAATAATATCAAAAATCAAATTTATTTTGTTTAAATATACTGTTTATTTATAAATCTCATGTGAAGTTGGAAACCCTATTGAATAAAATTGAAGAGATCTAACTTCTATCTTCTGTTCAAAGTTAAGTTGTTCAGCATGCGTGGTTAGACGAATCCATCCAGTTCTATGATCCAAGCTTAAGAAACTTGGTATTACATGATAGAGTAAATATGATACTTGGCCAAACTGAGGAGTATCATCATCAAATGCTTCCACCTGAACCAATTTGGTACCAGATGGATAGTCACGTTTAATGTAGCCATGATATTCGAGCTGCGCGAAATATGGAGCATTGTCATTAACATCCTGAAAAAACGAGTATTAACGCAATGCTTTCTGGAGTGAATTTATATGACCTGACTTATATTCACATTTCGTCCTTTGAATTTATATATTTTAATTCCTATGAAAATCGAAAGACGAATTATGAATTAACTTTGGAAATTTTGGAGAAAGAGCTCACCAAAACGTTAACAATAAGAGAAGTTCTCGTAGTCTGTGATGGATTACCGTGGTCCCTAGCTATAATGGTGACTTGATGCTGTTTACTAATTTCTCGATTAAGTTTCCCACGTAATACCACTTCCCCAGAAAATTCTTTAATTATAAACAATTGCTTGCTTTGAGAACCATCTATGTAGTACGATATAACACTGTTATTTCCATAATCCTTAATCTTTTCAATTTCAATACTGTTCGTGATAAATGTATCCATTACAGTTTTTGCCAAGAATTTTCATATACAACGTTATAACAATAATCAAACTAACATTATTTATTTTCTGTGCTTTCAAGAATAGTACATATGCAAATAATGATATTTGCTGAACTTTGATTGATCTTTAGTTAGTTCTACAATTTTTGCTTGATTTTATATTTCCATTTACAAACTCTTGCTTAAAGAAATTTTCACAATATAGTTGTTATATCATTGTTTTTGGAAATTTTATATGTGATATTTTTGGACTTTTTTGTAAAAATGAAGAAGTTACAGTGCTAATCTAAAAACTTTTTGTGATGTAAGTAAAACCATGCCTTATCAGTAGCGGTAATTTTATAGATAATAGTAAGTGGTGATATATCTTCCAAAACATCCACTTCGTAAAATGATGAGGAAAATTCTGGTTTATGGTTATTGACATCAATTATAGCAACTTGAACTTTACCGACTGAAAACTTATCACTTGGTGCAACTCTTCGTACCATAACTTCAAACTCGTACTTCCATTTTGTACGATTAGGCCACTGTTCAGAAGTTATAATAATACCTATTAAAATTTACATTATTCACTAATCTATAAAAATTTTGATCAGTAAACTTAAGACAATGATACCAAGTATAATTCTGATAAATTTTAAGCTAAACTAAACTCGACTTTCTTAACTAGTATCTGCTCAAAAGTTGCCTCAAAAATGAAATTAAAAGCAGCCACAAAAACTTCTATTTTCAATAACAAAGACTTTAAATTACTGGATTAACTTTTTCATCTGATTTCACTCCAAATTTTCTTTTCTACGCACTAATAAATAAAACTTGAAATTGAAGATTTCGTCTGCGCAGATAAAATGCTAAAAGACCTGTATTTTCGCCGATCGTGAACAAATGGTCACTTTTGTCACCATCAATAATTGAAAAGTGCAATAGATTTTCTTGTGTGGAAGTTCGAACTGCAGCAACAAATGATCCAACGGGTGAATCTTCCAAAATACTTACTTTAATCAACTTTTCAGCAAGTACTGGGAGATGATCATCATTTGCACTTAAGGCGAAAATCTGAAAATCATTAAATTCATTTTAAATTTTTCTTTGTTTTTTTTTGGTACTTGATGTCATAGATACTTCTTATTGATTGATTTAATTACAAGAACTTGCTAACTATCAAAGTACGTTCAACAGAACGTTGAGGTATTCCATTATCTGTTGCTCGAAATGTGAGTGAAAACTGCGTTATCAATTCATCATCAACTGATCGATTCAGTCGAAGAATCCCATAATTATTTCCACTTTCTAGTCGAAAATACTTTTCACTGTTACCAGCAATAATTGATATGTGAACATTTTGGCCACTGTCACGATCATTTGCCGTAATAATTGCGATAGTCGAACCAATACTTGTTGCATGACTTACTGATATAAATTCTGCATCTGCTGGATATGTTCTGTAAAGTTAGAATTGCATTATGGTTCATCTCCGATATTCGACTATAATGTTTCAAGATTGATATGCTTTTAACCTGAAAATGATTTCTGGATCATGCAGATTAGTATCTGTTTGGTGAATGTAAACTAAAGTACGGCCAGCTAATTTTGGCTCTCCATAATCTTCTGCTTCAACCGCTAGCACACATGTTTCTGCGCAGTGTTGCAAGTAACCTTCTTTAGAACTGACCAAAGTGGTATGCTGCAAAGAAGCACCTAACTGAAAAAGTTTAACAAATACTTATTTACTCAAATAGAGTTCCATTTTCGTACCTGAAAACTTATTATACCATTATCTGGATGAATTTGGAAGCTATTCCAAGGATTTTGAATGAGATGATATCTGATCCGGCCGTTTTCTCCGAGATCTACATCGGTAGCTTGAACCTGCAGAATTTCCGAGTCAACTAATGCTGATCCATTCAAATAAATATCATAATGTGATTGACGGAATTCCGGCGGATTATCATTTGCATCCAGTACGTTTACATAAACTGTGCAGTAACCAGAACTAAAAAATGAATAACATTTTCGTTGCATCAATTTTTGAATTTATTACTGTTTCACTCTTGCTTTGATCGAGGAACTTCCACAATATGAAAATAAGGTAGTTCTATATTCAGTAATATCTATTATTGAACTCAAAAAATTATGGATATCATCAAAGTACATGCTGAAATAGTACCGTGAATAATCATAGTAAATTAATTGTTACTGCTTGATTTTTAAGCTATATTATTCGACAAATCACGAAAAAATATATTTTAGAGGGCAAAAATAGAAATCGCTGCTGCAAAGTTTTAAAATGAATCTATTTGATCTATTTGATTATTTGATTATAAGCCTTATAGTTCACAATCTTTGTAATCCGTATTTTTTTCTGTTGTCACCACTGAAAAAGAACTATAAGGCTTAAACCTTTTGTATAAAGGTTTAAGCCTTATAGTTCTTTGTTGAGCAATTTTAAGAAATTTCTGAAATTGAATAACCGAGTTGGATTTCCTCCATCATATGCGGTTATGTTAAAAATGAACAAATCTTTTTGCTCTCGATCCAACTTTGTTAGTAATTCTATAAGTAAAATATCTCGATCATTACCAATCGATGATCTGACCAGTTTGAAAAATTCGCTTCCTGCCTGAAATCAGAAAGGCTTAAAACTTTCGGAATTCAGAACAATATTTTGGTATTTAGACGCAAAAGATAACCTGAAGCTCATAATTTTTGATTGTTCCATTTTCAGCAAAGTCAATATCGCTGGCTGACTGCAGTCGAATTCTATTTCCAACCATTGCTGATTCGACAATTGAAACATTCTGTAAAACTTGAATGTTAGATTATTTTTTTCGATATTTTTCGAGTAATGGTTCTAAAAATGGCAATTCTGGTAATGATATGAGTGACAATAATTATTGCGTTACCGTTTTCCAAGCATGCTTAATGAGCAAATTTTGATACTACTAAGCATTATACAGTTTATGTTTCACCTATTATTATAGTCACTTTTGTATAATTATTATAATTGCAGCTTTGCATATTGGTATCATATTATTGTTCTTATTTTTTTAAGCATTACTATTTTCAATATCTCTATACTTGTTTCTGTTATTTTTTTATCTTAAAAAACTATTTTTCAATTCAAATATTTTTGAAGGTGACTCTAATTTTCAATTAATATTTCTATTTAAAAACGATTGTTCAGGAATGAAAACTTATTCATGTACACAGAATATGAAAAATTTGCAAATTGAGAGCACCTGGAGCAATAATCTTCTATACACAAGCTCATAATTTTAGTATATTTTCATCCTTTTAATAATAACTTATTTTACGTTCTTGGTAATAATTAGAAAAATTTGTCTGATGTATTTCCATAGAATATATAATTATTGCTCGCTTATATCCATGATCTTCCGTTCATTATCATTAAAAAATGTATGCACAAGCGTCAAATACTTATTATTTTACAGTAAACCATAAATAGTCATTCGATCCATTATAATTTTTGGTGTCGTTTGACTATATGAAAAAACCTCAGGATCTTTCACGAAATGTTCTCATAGCTTAAATTATGCATTTTAAGCTGCAGTGAAGAAAAGTATAAAGTATTCATGCATTTATTTTTGTAATGCAAAAATCTTTTGTTATTTGATACTCATTTGAAAATAAGTAACCGAGTCATAGTCACTAATATTTAATAAATTTTAGTCGTATAAATTGTAAATTGATTTAAAAATATCATTCATTTATAAAGAATTAGTACTTAGGAAATGAGAATAAATACGAATCACTCATAATTTATAAATGAGCCAGTGTGGATCATTACTGATTTATGCATAAAACTTTTAGTAATTAGCAACAATTATAATATTTTTCATGAACTTTTTTTTAAAGGATAATTTAGAAGTTAACTTTCAATATTTCGAATTTCACTTTAATTATAAGATGAGTAAACTTTATCAGTTAAGAATCAATCAATTTTTAAGAAAAGAAAAGTACCTGAAATACACAAATTAGCTATATTTTTAAAAAGTGCTCAAATGTTTGTAATTAGTTGAATTTTATAAATGGCAAAAACTTATAAAGTTGTTCGATGCCAAATTTACTTTGAGTTTTTGATACAAATTATATTTCGTAATTAATAAATATTTAAATAATAGTTGAAGTATTTTTTAACAATGCATAAAATTTTTAGTTTTGGATTTTTGCACAACGGAACATGCTTGATAATGAATTCACCTGATATTTAGATGGGAATACCGGACTATTATCGTTGATATCGAGTACATTAATGCGTATTGCAATCAGTGCAAGGGGTTCAGCAGTTAGCATCAAAATAATGGTACCATTGGACGTAATCGTTTCTCGATCTAGCGGCGCAGTAGTATATATTTCACCACTTTTAATATTCACCGTGACTAGTTCATTATGGCCATTTAATCGGTAGCTAAGATTTGGTTCAAGGCCAATATAACCAATTAACGTACCCTTTGGAACATCTGCTACGAAATGAATCATTTAACAAAAATGAATTAATCAAAAGAGCTAAAAACAGATCAGTTTTAATTTCCTAAATTCCAGTTATTCAGTAACAACCCCTTTCTTAATCTAAAATCTGTTAATTTATCTTCAAAAAGAAAAACTATGTTTCAGTTATTATCAATATCAACTTTTATCATAAAGTATTGGTGTCATAATCAAAAATGAAAATTTATGAACATTTCTAATAAAAGCAACCAAGCTAGAAAAGCCCAGCAATGCAAATTACTTCTAAAACGTAAAATCACTTTATTTCTTCCTTTAGCTGATGAAATTGATCAATTTAACAATTTGCAATAAGAAAGGAAAGCACTGTACAAAGCAAGTAATCAAAAAAAATGATATGTCATGATAACTAGTATAAAATATAAATATGAATGATTGATTAATTCTATTCTGAAATCTAACAATAAATGTTGGTATGAAATAACTCTTTATACCTTCAGCAATTTCAAATTCGTAGTTTTGCTCAGTAAATGAACAAATGGAGAAGATTAAATTGAATAGTAAGGATAGTTGTAAAGTACATCGCATTCCACGCCTTATTCACGCTGTTTCTTAATATAGTATTGTAATTATAGCTTCAAACAAGCTCTGAAATATAAAATCGCTTAAACTAGAAGTGTTCAGCTCAAAATGTGCAACTTGAGTTGAAAACGACTAGACAAAAATGATTACCTCAGATAAGGCAAAAGTCTTGTCTTGTTTCATTTCAATGCATCTTCACAATAAGCATAAATTCTACGTTAATACACATATTCCAATCAATTATATAAATTTGCGTTTCAAGGATATATATATATACTTATTTATTTATTTATTTATATTTATATATGTAATAATGCAATAATGATGAAAGATGATCAAGATTATAATAGTTTGACAATATGCGCATGTGCGTAGAAACTTTTTCATTTTTTAGCAAAATATTATAACGCCAAAAAATATGAGTTTTAATGGAAACAAATATAGCCAATTTGAAAAAAAAAAAAAACTTCTATTACTGCGAAAGAATAAAATGTAATTTTTTTTATTGCGCCATCTTAGCATCAATTTATAATCCTTCAACTTCACTGCATGAAAAGTTAAATTCGCTGCATACTTATGTTTATTGGAGATTTAATTTTGAATGAATTTTTTTGAACATTTAAACTAATCCATAAAAACAGCGCATTGAAACGATTAATGGAGTTTAATTTCATAGACTATTTTCAAAAAAGTACAGAAAATAATAGTGGATAAACGATTAAAAAAAGTTATCTTCATTTTTTTCAAAATTTCTTTCCGCTGCAAACAAAAAATTAAAGCAAGTTCTTTTTCAACTGTGATAAAATTCAACTTCAAAAACCAACATAATACAAGTTTCAATCAATTCAAGCGTGAATATTTATCGACAAGAAATCAATTTTGCATGATCTGAAATAGCTTTGCTGCAATAACAGTTGGAAAAAAGAGATCGAAGACTCTTATGAGATAAAAGATGGAATTTAGATGACGTATTTTATCATTATTTTTTGAAAATACTTTTAGAATTTTTAGTGATTTACAGAACTCTTTGAAGTTTGACAATTTTTGAACGAACTGGAAGGAGTAAGCAACTTATTACTGTTCGAATGACTGATATATTTATTTCATATACTATATTTATTTTTATGTAATAATACCTCAAAAATTTACGGGGAAATGAATTTATTAGATATCTACTGCAAATTGAAATAAGAAATTACCACTGGAGGTAATTCTTTCTCACGTGGGAATGCACAAAAAAATGCACGTATAGAATAGCTCACAAGTGATAAATGCTAGCTGTTAATATCTCTCAAAGCATGTATGCATGTATTATATATTTAAATTTCAAACTAATTATGTAAAAATTTATATATTATAATCAAATATTATCTCTTAGCTATTTTTTGGAAGGTACTCAGAAGACAGAATGTGGATTTTGAAGTATAATAAAGAAGCAGCTTGCAGCCACTGTTTTAAAAATAAGAAAAAGAGATGATGCACGTGTAAAATGCAGTGAAAGGAGTATACGGTGTTAATACAAATAATCAACGAGTTGATTACCACTGACTTGCTCTATTCCTTCTGCGTATAAAAGGTGATTGTACCACTTCAAAAGGGTGTACTTGGGCGTGGTTTGGCCAAGCATGAAGATTTGTGCAAATCGGTCCGCCGCTGGGCGTGCTTTGATAAACTGAAACAGCTGCAAATAGAGGTGAAGCAAATATTTTGTGATGAGGCGGGCGAGCGAGGAATGTTTGTTGACCTTGAGCTGGTTTTGGCACGAGGACACTTCCGGTACTGACCTAATCATCACGTGAATAAAAAACTAGCCAGCGATAACTAATCCAACCTTTAAATTTGCATGAAAATTGAAAATGATTCGTTGTAATTTATAAAGGGCTTAACATTCCTTCATGTCGCCTCGTCAAAACTTCTATGCTCTCAATTATTATGCAAATTTTAATCCTCTACAGATAAAAACTTTTATTTAGTGATATCAACTACGTGTGATTCACAGTCAACTAAAACCCTTCTACTTACAAGTACAGTAATGCTTCTTTTTTGTATTATTATTCCTTCGATATAAACTTCTTGCACAGTTATCAACTGAATAGCTATCATCACCATAACATTTTTCTAAAACTTTATTATCTTAATTCAAATCTGTGAACCAGAAATTGCTTAATTTACAGTAATGTCATGTATATTAAACTGCTACAAATGAAGTAACTTTAAATTACTTTGATTACTTGAATTATGCAAATGATTCAAGTGAAATTTACCCTATTAAGCTATCATAGCTCACAAAACTCTGCTTAATATTCCGAACACTCTTTCTAAATAACGTTTTATTGGAATTTTTACTAGAATTTTACTCAATGTGTTTAGTTAAAAACAAATTTTAATACTAAAATACTTGATTTTGTTCCTGGTTTCTAGTTTTACAATTCAAATTTTTTTATCATTCAATATTTATAGTACATATCTGGTTTTTTAATATTATTATGAACTTTATTCATTACGGTTAACCATCTTAAGCTTGATAGGAGTTGAAGTTTTCATTATAAGCTCAAAAAGTTTTATTTTAATAAAACTTATGATGAAGTCTGAACAAAACAGACAATAAAAGAATATATTTTGTTGCATATTCTTTGTCCATGCAAATTATCCGATGTTTAATCATCTTAGTTTTATACTGATTTTACTCGATTACCAACATTTTTTCTGACAACAATAAAAGTGCTGAGGCAGATTTTAAATTAGATTTTTTAAAATTGTTTATCATAGATTATGCGAATTTAAAAAAAAAATTATTGAAAAGAGATTATACTTTTAATTCAACAGAATGATGTAATACTTTGTCTAAAATAGTATATTCAAATTATAGATAAGATAAATAATATATATTTTGTCTATTGTGGTCTCATAGTGAATCGATCTCATTAAATCATTTTCAATATTTGTATGAAATCTATCTTATTGAATTTTTTGTAAAAAATAATTTTTTAAGTAAAACTAGATTTTTCAGGTTTGATGTTTAAAAAATTTCTGCAACAGAGGGGTAAAAATAATGAATTATTTGATTTTTTGTGATTTATTTTCCAAGCACTTAATAAAATTCAAACGATATTTTCAATAAAATTTTAAATCCTAGTCTGAAAAATGATTTTTTGTATTCTGATAAAGATCTACAAGTAATCAAACGGAAAGTCAGAATCCGCCTTCAATATTTCATTTTGATAGCTTTTTTGAGTAAGCTTGTAAACACGTTTTAGAGTATGGTAAATTTTTATTTCTTAAACTTTGAAAATCACAAAAAATAAACAGAAATTAAAATATTCAATTTAATTTGTTTCTGACTTATGAAATTATTTGCAATATGGGTGAAAGCGGTGAAATCAAATTAAATTATAATTTCAATGTAGAAGCAGTGTGTGAAATGATCGAACATGAAAATTTGACACATTATGCTCATATATTAAACTCTAGTTTGAGATTCTTACAATAGTAAAGTTCATAATATATATTGATTAGAAAGCTGAAGGTACAAACATTGGGCAATTATAATTAATTACACGCGAAATCTAGAAGTATAAGAATGAGAGAAAAAATTAATTGTTGAAAAGCAATTTACAGCTGAGGAAATGAATAGATCATTAGCACTTTAAAAGAAGGGTATTCAGGTATGGAAAACTGAAAAACAATAACAAACAAACAAAGCATAGAGTTGTGAAGGGATTAATTAAGCGAATAAGTCAATTTGAGTTACAAACTGAAGTACTTCAATAATTTGTATTTTCGCCTTGGGAAGAAAGAGTGGATTATTTTTGTAAGCAAAGTTCTCCATTTACATTGGAAATGAAAAACGCTCTTTCCAGAATTTGAAAACTTTTTGTGCAAGAGAAATAGGGGAATCTTAAATAGTTAGAGCAAAAAGCCTAGAATGACAAAGGTCATGAAAGGAACACAAATGTGCGGTATACTGATTTCTCAAGATTTTAGCATATAGTTTCTATAATTTAAGAGCTTTTTCGCATTTTTCAATGCGTTAACAGAAGACGAGAAAAAAAATTAGCCCAAAAATCTTTTCACCAATTTTTCCTGCTCGAATTGTCGACTCTTCTTTCTACTAGCAAGTGAAGGAAGAATGGGTGATTGGATGAATGAATGAATGAATGAATGATAAATAAATAAATAAATAAATAAATGAGTAGTTGTTGTTAGTTCAGGGCGAATCCAAGGACAAAAAGTCCTTTTTTCCCTCCTATGATCATCTACAGAATTAAATGTCTTCGCTCCCCTTTATTGCTCCAAATTACCGGATGTCAACAGGCAAACAAGGCTGAAAACACATCTCATAAAACCTGTGAAGTTATCATGCAATCTGAAAGAAGTCTCACAACGATAATGCTATAATGAAGTTCTTTTCTTCTGACAGCAAATTTATACTTTGAAATAAAAAAACCATT